GGTAAATAGTAGGATTACTTGTCTATCAGCAAGTTGTAGAGCCTATGGAAGATTTGTTTTTTTCTGCCTGGTACCTGTAGTGTAGTGGTTAGAGTCTTTAGCTAGCGCGCGGCGAACGTAGGTTCAATCCCCAGCACCCCAAAATTTGTTTTCAAAAGTTCTTGCTCAATCAAGCATGTAGTGCTTGATGCAATGTGAAACAAAGCATCAAAGCAGAGCAACAATGTTTGTATTTTATTTATTTTATTTTTATTCCCAGATAGTAAATTTTTTTTATTGATAATAATAATAAAGATCTATCTATCTATCTATTTATTATTATTATTATTATTATTAATAACAATAATAATAATATTAATACTTCTTAAATATTATTTTTGTATTTTTTACAGATATTTCCGTCCAACATTTCCTGAAAATTTAATTTAAATTTTTAGGAAATGTTCGTCAAAAAAATTGACTGAATATTTAAATTACATTTTCAATCAACTTTCGCTATAAATTTTTAATGAATATTTAATTTAAATGTTCAGTCAATTTTCGCGACGAACATTTCCTAAAAATTTCATTTAAATTTTTAGTCAACTTTTACGCCAAATATTTATTTTGGTGGGACATTTAAATCTTTATGCAATTTTCATTAAACTTTGCAATTAAATATCCCCAAGATTTCAAGGAAATCTTTACGAAATTTTTAGTAAAGATTAGCTGCTGTGGGGGTAGCCTTTCTTGTGTCATGGTAGAAGGAAGATAGATGTTTCTTAGTTTTAATTTCGAGAAACTTGGGTTGCGCAGATACTCATAACTTAGAGTTTTTAAGGTAATATACGTAATAACGTATATTAAGTATTAAAAACTAAACCAACATGTTTGCTTAGAATATAAACACATAAGACTGAATATTTTGTTTATTATTAAACATAGATAAAAGTAGGAGAGAGTGGGGAGTTGTGCTTCAATTTTTGTTTTTCGATCAAAACTGTTACATTTTCTTTTTTACTATTCTATTATATAAAACTTTTAGTACACGTGCAAACACAACTTTTGGCTTAATTTAATAATTAAAATTCAAGACGGAAATAGAAATTTTGATTGTTTTTTAAAAACACCAGTTTTATGACTTTTCAAAAACATCGAGGAGTTGTGTTCCACTGTTGAAAAATTGAAGGAAAAGACATATTTTTTAGAATGTTCTTTATTTAAATTATGAAATGTGAAAAAGATAACTTAGATAAAATAATGTAATAGATAATATAAAAGATTAATTTTAGATTAGTAGATAAAATTATATTATTTTAAAAATAATTGAATGAAACTAGGTAATTAATTTCATTTACAGTGAATACAGTTGTAAAAAGTCTTATTTTACTAAAAAACAATATTTAAATTGCATTAAACATTCTAATTATTCATAAATAATGCAAAATAAGAATAGAGAGTGCGTATTAGAATTAAAAACTGTTAAATATGATGTGAGACACAACTCCCCACTAACGCAGAAGCATAACTCCCCATTTTCTACCTTTTTTTAAATAGTCATAGAATAAGTAATACATCGAATGTATATGCGAATTTTTCTTTGTACGTCGAAAGTTATTAATGACAGCTAATTTTTATGCATTAAACATTGTGATCACTTTGAAGATATTAGTGGAAATTACCTAAACATAAAGAGAAGAAAAACTTTTAGAACAAAATTTTAACTCACTATCTGTAAATATACGAAAAATGCCTCCAAAGATGATGGGTACCACTTAAAAAATTAGTTCTTAACGAGAAAAGAATATACCAATAGATGAAATTTGTCATATTAATTGCCATAATAAAAAAGTTAAGGTTAAACACGACTCCTTACGAGGCACAACTCCCCACTCACCCCTATATTTAATATTTTTTTACAATTTTAACAAATTAAGTTAAGACAATAATTTCATATAATCGCAAAACATTAATAAAACTTGTTTCAATAGCAACACAGAGTATTTATTAATTAAACATGCAAATAGGCAAACTGCTGATAAATAATTGAACTAAAAAATAGTTTAAATAAGTGCTATAGAAACTGAAACAATTTTTGATACTATTAAATCAAATAAAATTATTCCAATCGCTGGTAGCGATTGGTTTAAAATATTTTACATTATTATTTTTATTAGGGGAGAGTGGGGAGTCGTGCTTCACCTTAATTTTTTTATTATGTCAATTAATATGACTTTCAACTATTGGTATATTCTTTTCTCGTTAAGAACTAACTTTTTAAGTGATACCCGTCATCTTTGGAAGCATTTTTCGTGTCTTTACAGATAGTGAGTTAAAATTTTGTTCTAAAAGTTTTTTTATCTTTATGTTTAGTATCGCTGTTTAAGAAATATATAAATTAGTATTACACAGAACTTAGAAAGACAAATGCAATCAGAATTTATATACATAAAGAAAATTTGAGAAATAAATATTACTTTAAACATACCCACGTGAAAAAATTATCGGGAGGCTCCCGGGAAGAAATTCCGGGAACATCCCGGGAGTTTCCCGGGAAATTTAAAAAAACTGAAATTTGTAATTTTTTTATTAAAAATTAATTTTAACCTTAAATGGTTATTATTTAACCATAAAACTTTAAAAATTCACAAGGTTTGCCGGATATTTAAATCAAAATTTTGTGAATGACGTCCTTAAATAAAAAGTTAACTTTTAAAATTACGATTACTTTTCTCTGCCATTTTGAGTTGTAAAGAAGAACTTTTCAAAAATTTGAAAATATTTTTTATAAAAATGAAGATTTTTTTGAATTCAGGTGCACCCCGAGTAGATTTCTTGCTGTCTTCTCTTTCCCATCAAGCATTTTTCAGTGTGGAATTTTTTAGAAAAATTTATATATTTTCGTCCTTAGAAACGGATCGGTTAAACTTTTCGCATATACATACTAACGTTGCTATGTAAAATAGTTTTTAAACATAAGACATTTTTTAAGACAAATTAAACTAATTTTAGCTTAAAAAAAGTTACTTATCAAACAAATATGTATTTAAAAAAAATGAGATTGACACATTTTAAACAAGAAAAAGAAGTTGGCGTCTTTAACCCAGGGTTTTAACAGAGAAATTAATGCTTGCATTTCTAAAAAAAAATTTGCAAATTTAGATTGCCCTAGTTTATTTATAGAAAAGATGTTAGTGTCTTTAACCAGGGTTTCACTAGGGAAAACAAATTCTGCAATTTTTGAAAAAAATTAAAATCCAAATTGCCACGGTTTAGCAAAGGAAAATGAGCCACTCTTCAACCAGAGTTTTAGAATCAACTTAAATATTAATTTCCATAAATATTATAAGTTTCACCGATGCTGTTTAACCCGGCAATTGCCGGACCCTGGGATATGTTCATTAGCAATGGTATTACCAGAAAACTTCTTCAGCATGTCTAAAAAAAGGTGTTTATGACCGAAAAAGAATATGTTTGTTATCGCTTTCTTACAATATTAAGTCTGAAAAATACAATACAATCATTTTTAAGAAAAAAATTTTTTTGATTGTAAGCACTGGTTTTCTCAGACGCGGTCACAAATATTCCAATATTCACCTATAATTTTGTGTATTTTGTTTTACTTGTAATTTGATCCAATACTCTTTTGGTACTTCTTTCATTACCTCTATTTCAATAATTAAATTTATTTTTTTAAATATGGAAAACTTTTAAATTACAAGGAAATATAATTTAAAAAATATTATTATTTTAGTTTTTTTTCGACAGTTCGCTAGCAAAAAAAGGCAACTGGAAGGTGTCACCTGATACTGTTGTTACGGAGTAACAATAATTAAATTATTTTTTGTAAAATATTTAATATTTTTGTAATTTTATTTTTCTCATACGAAAACTTTTAACTAAAAACTAAATTTGAGAAACTTTTACTTAATATTGGACTACCTGAACATCGGTATGTACCTCTTTTTGACCCTTTGCATATCTGGTACTGAGATCTTCATGTTAACGACAATTGAGCGCTACGTCATTTATTGCACTTACCAACCGTTTTTACCTAAGTTTCACAAACTTTTATAATGCGACGTTGTCATATTTTTAAAACTTTAGAAATCCCAAAATTCCGATGTTGCCAAATTTGTAAATTACTGCGTTTGTCTGTCGAATGCCTGCCTAAAGGGATCAGAATCCAAGTGACCATGATTCAAGCAATACATAATTGTGAGTCACTGCGCGCAAAACATTAGAATTTAAGTATTTACCTTTCATATCAATTAAAGTTTCATATTTATGTACAGTAATTGGCTTCAATAAAATATGTAAAAATTTAATTCACTAAAATATTTGATTTTCTTTCAAAGCCCAAACAAAATATGGTCCTTCGAGCCGGATACTATTAAAAACTTAGTGAGCAGTGATCCTATAAACTTTGAAAAGAAATGAAAATTTATTTTTAGTGATTAAATGTTCGCGTCCTAGTGAGATAATAAACATTTTAATAACTTTTGCGTTTTCGAGACACTGATTCATCGAACTATTAAATTCAAATAATTATCATCGGCAGTGAACATTACACTAATACTGCTGTGAAATTTAACAGTGTTTCGTTTTGTATGTATAACTCTACATATGCAAATGCAAATCAACGAGTGAAATCTACTAGGACTCTACACGAAAGGTTCAAAGTCGCGCTTTAAAAAGGTTTTTGTGTTTTTCAAAACCTTTTAATTGGATTGAATTAATCATTGTTCAATCTAATCAATTTATTCGAGTTTGGAGGTCAATCACTTGTCTCAACTCTTTCACGATCGAGAAACAATCTTCAAGGCGTGATCCAGAAGTTCCATCTTTAAACCTACCAAGAAAACATCTTTAAGGCCTGATCCAGAGGTTGCATCTTTAAAAAACATCAATTACTACTACTTCCAATTCCTTCCTTTTGTTTTAAATCTATATTATTTTTATGCTTCAATCTTTACAACAATTTCATTACCTTTTCTTAAATCAAAAATCGACAAAAGAAAATGGCAACTGAAGAAGAAATCAAACCCTTGCGTAAAGATAGAGGTAACATCAAACGAGCTTTAACATCTTCGGAAACTATTCTCTCGGAAATTAATTCAGATACCGATCTTCAAACTTTAAATTTACATGTTCGTTTGCAAAATCATTTAACATTGTGGGATCGATTTGAAATCACACAAACTAAAATTGATAATTTGACCGACGAGGTAGAAATGGAATCACAGTTCAGCGAAAGAACAGATTTTGAACATATATTCCATCGAATAAGCGCGTTGTATCAAAAACATATTCAAAAGTTAAACGTTTCAGAAATTAGTCCGACACAATCAATTCACTCAGACACTAGTTTCACAAATAATGGTAGCAATCCATCCAATCAAATAGTGGTTGACAAAACTACTCATTTAGGACTGTCTCGAGAAACCGAAACTCAAAATTTAGCACATTCGCGTATGAATCAAAGCCAATTTCAAGCACATGCACGCTTCGAACTTCCCAAGATTAAAACTCCTACCTTTGAAGGTTGTTTTGACACCTGGTTAACCTTCCACGATTCCTTCAAATCCATGTGTCACAACAATCAATCTATCTCTCCTATCCAAAAATTTCACTATCTGAAAGCATGTTTGACCGGGGAAGCTGCCGAAGTAATTTCTTCGCTCGAAACCACTGAGAGTAATTACGATGTAGCGTGGAATCTTTTAAAAGAAAGATTCGACAATCGGAAATTTATTGCTGAAAGTCATGTGCATGCTTTATTTGAACTTTCAACAGTATCGAAAGAAGTTTCGGTTAGATCCTTATTGGATAATTTTCAAAAACGCTATCGGGCACTTCGGGCTCTCGATCAACCTGTCGAACAATGGGACACTCTCCTCATTTATATCTTACGCATGAAACTTAACAACTACAATCGCGAAAAATGGGAAGAATCAGTTGGTAGCACTCAACTTCCCTCACTTAAAAAAATGACTGATTTTTTAGAACAGCGTGCTTTAATTGAAGGGACTCAAACAATGTCCAAATTACATGTTTCTAAAAATCAGGTCAAAAATTCAGTAAAGGGTTCAACCTGTCTCACCACCACGGTTCAGAATGAAAAACCAAAATTCAAATTTTCATGCCCAATTTGTCAGAAACCTCATATGCTTTACACTTGTCAGCAATTTCAAAATCTATCTCTCAAGGAAAGATATGACGTAGTGAAGAAGGCTTCAATTTGTTTTAATTGTTTTTTCTCGAACCACAAGACTAATGATTGTCGAAAGGAAGGTTGCCATAAGTGGTATCAAAAACATCACACTATGTTGCAATTTGAAAAGGAAAAGGTTGAGGAAAGTAAAGACATTCCATCAACTACAACGTCTCTTGTCAAATTTGAAGACAAAGGCCCTTCCCAGGTACTTTTAGGAACAGTTGTTATAGATATTCTAGATGGTAAAGGTAAATATCAGCCTTGTCGTGCTCTTCTAGATTCTTGCTCACAGTGTAATGCTATCACAGCTAAATTTGCTGAAAGGTTATGTCTTTCTCAAAACTCGATTGATATCAAATTGCGAGGAGTAGAAAATCTTCAATCAAAAATTTCTCGCTCGGTGTCTAGCCAAATCAAGTCTCGCTATCATAATTCCAATCTATATATGAAGTTTCTAATCTTCCAGGAAATTTCTGAAGCAATGCCTTGTGTTCCTCTTGATAGAAGGTCAATAAACGTTCCTGAAGGTATCTTTTTAGCAGATCCTTCTTTCCACGATTCAAGAGAAATAGATATTTTGATTGGTGCAGAGTATTTTTATCAATTATTGCACACTGGACAAATTAGGGTGAACAATCAAACAGCCGTGTTTCAAGAAACCGACCTGGGGTGGATTTTGTCAGGACGAGTCACGCATTCTCAAAAACAATTTAATGCAAAGTCTAAACCTCAAAACAAAATAATTTGTAATGTTATTAATCTCGAAGAACTCCCAATTTTATGGGAAATCGGGGAAGATAAAAAACAAAAAATTCTATCAGAGGAAAAAGTATCTGCAGAGAACCACTATTCAGAAACAATAAAACGCTTAGAATCAGGTAGTTATAAAACAGAACTTCCTTTTAATGAAAAAAAGAATCTTTTTGGGAAATCGAGCGAGTTAGCATTTCAAAGATTTTATTCACTTGAGAAAAAGTTTCTTAAAAATCCTGTCTTAAAAGAGCAATATTCTGATTGCATTCAAGGTTATCTGGATGAGGGACACATGTCTCTTCTAAAAACTGAAGATACACAAAAACCAGGTTATTTTCTTCCGCATCATGCTGTCTTTAAAGAGGATAGTATCACAACGAAAACTCGCGTTGTGTTTAATGGCTCAGCCAAATCGTCTACGGGAATTTCCCTTAATGACACATTTTTTATAGGGCCAACAATTCAAAATAATTTGTTTTCAATCGTTCTTCGATTTCGATCCTTTCCATATGCTCTTACTGCTGATATTCAACAGATGTATAGGCAGATAGAAATTGCGGAAAAGGATAGAGTTTTTCAAAAAATTTTGTGGCGATTTTCCCCAGAAGAACCTATTCAAATTTATACTCTTAATACAGTTACATTCGGTACTTCTTGCGCTCCTTTTCTGGCAATTCGAACGCTTCATCAACTTGCCGACGATGAAGAGAATAATTTTCCACTCGCATCGATGATTTTAAAAAGAGATTTCAATGTTGACGATGTATTAACTGGATCTCAAACCTTCCAAGGTGCGTTACAGCTTAGAAATGATTTAATTGAATTGTTAAGAAGGGGAGGTTTTGTTCTTCGAAAATGGGCTTCAAATCATGCCGCATTATGCACTGATTTTTTAAACAATCAATCTGACAATTACATGTCTTTGGATCTTTTCGATACAATTAAAACATTGGGATTGTATTGGGATCCAAAATCGGATACAATTATGTACACCGCCAATCAAGACGAATCAACTGAAATTTTGACAAAAAGAGTAATCTTATCTCAATGCTCGAAATTATTCGATCCGCTGGGTTTGGTAGGGCCAGTCGTCATTGTTGGAAAAATATTAATTTAACAATTGTGGAAATTGCAATTAAATTGGGATAATGAAGTCCCGCCCGATATTCAACAATTTTGGAAGGAGTATTTAAAGCAATTGCCCCTTCTCGACAAAATAAAATTTCCGCGATTCGTGGGAATCGAAAATTCAATTGAATTGCAACTCCATGGTTTCTGTGACGCAAGTGAAAAAAAGTATGGCGCTTGCATATACCTTCGCTGAGCTGATTCACAGGGTAATTATTTTTGTAACCTTTTGTGTGCGGAATCAAGAGTTGCACCTTTAAAAGTTATTTCTTTACCCAGGCTCGAGCTATGCGCTGCAGTATTGCTGGTTAAATTATTTGTTTTAACTGAAAATTCCTTGCAGTTGTCAATTCAAAATAGATATTTTTGGTCCTATTCAAGTATTGTTTTAAATTGGGTGAACACTCCTCCTCACAAATTAAAAACTTTTGTAGCTAATCGGGTTTCAGAAATCCAAGCATTAACCCATTTTAGTGAATGGAAACACGTTCCCACTAAAGAAAATCTCGCGGACTTTATTTCACGCGGACAAAATTCGGAAAACTTTCTAGAAAATCTCATGTGGATATCAGGTTCTCAATGGCTATGTCAAAAAGAGAATACATGGCCACAATTAGAGATTCAAACACTAGAGGTTCCCGATGTACGAACTGCTCAACCTATGTTCTCAGGGATGATTACACAATTTTCTATTGATTTGTTAAGAAAATATAGTAATTTACCTAAATTACAGCGCGTAATAGCTTATTGCCAGCGATTTATTTCTTCCTGTAAAATAAAAAATGCAGGAAATCGAGAAACGGGCAGTCTCACTACCTGTGAACTCGAAAAGGCCACAATCACTATTATTAAATTGGTGCAATCAGAATCATTTTCGGAAGAAAGGAAAGCCTTAATGAAAAATCAAGAAGTTCCAAAAAGAGTCCCCTCTTGCCTCTTCATCCATTTTTAAAAGATGATATCATTAAAGTAGGGGAAGATTGAGTAATACTGATATTCCAGAAACTCAAAAACACCCGATTGTGTTACCAAAGGGTCATCCCATAACAAAACTTGTTATTCAGGATGAACATGTTAAGCGAATGCATGCGGGAGTCAACGCTACATTGTACGGCGTTCGAGAGTCGTATTGGCCGATAGACGGTAGAAATACAACTCGTCTTGTTGTAAGAAAATGTATACAGTGTTTCCGGCGAAGCCGCGGGAATCAAATTACATAATGGGAAATTTGCCCACAAATCGAGTTTCGTTTTCTCGTCCATTCCTTCACATTGGCGTCGATTTTTGTGGCCCGTTCTATACTAAAGAATTTCGCCTCAGAAATCGAACCAAGGTGAAAACATACGTGTCAGTTTTCGTTTGTTTTGCAACAAAAGCTGTACACCTCGAGTTGGTTAATGATTTGTCAACCGAAGCTTTCATTTCTTGCCTCAAGCGTTTTTGTTCTCGTCGCGGTATACCAAAAACCATTAAATCAAATAATGGCACAAATTTCGTAGGAGCAGATAATGAATTGAAAACATTGTTTCAAAAAATCGATCTCACAATCAAAAATGAAAAGGTAAAAGATTACCTTTCTGATAAAGGTACCACGTGGACCTTTAATCCACCTAGGGCTCCACACTTTGGTGGTCTCTGGGAGGCAGCGGTAAATTCATTCAAAAAACATTTTACTAGAATAGCCGGTACATCACTTCTTTCGTATGAACAATTACACACATATGTTGCAGAGATTGAAGGAATATTGAATTCTCGTCCATTGACCGCGTTATCTTCTGATCCAAATGATTTTAATCCTTTGTCTCCTGCTCATTTCCTGATTGGTAGTTTAATGACAAGTATTCCACAAGAGGATCTTCGTAGTTTGCCTCTTAATCGTCTCAGCGCATGGCGAACTATTCAACAAATGCGCCATCATTTCTGGAATCGATGGCATCATGAGTATTTGAATGAAATGATTTCCAGAAGTAAATGGCAATCATCTACAAATCAAGAAAACATCGACATTGGCACTTTGGTCGTCATAAAAGATGACAATCTACCACCAATGAGGTGGTCTCTCGGAAGAATTGTTGCTACACATCCAGGGTCCGATGGAATTGTACGAGTCGTTACAATTCGCAGTCCAACAGGGACTTACAAAAGAGCACTCAAAAAATTGTATCCACTTCCAATCGACGATTAAAATTTACGAATTTTCTTTTATAGTAAATAATTGTCAAAAACTTTTCTTCTTGAAATTAAATAATTTTCAACAAATTTTCTTTGTATATGAACAAAAACTCTACAGTTAAATCTTCATTTTTTAGCAATGTAATGAAACATATAACTAATTAATTGATATTAAGGAGATCACAATTTTTAGAAAATTTAATAATAAATCAATTGCTTCAAAAAATAGTAATGTACAAGAAAATGATTTTTCTAATTTTGTCATATAATAAACTTTGTATGCAGTGTGAATGTAATCTTATTGTTGAACTAATACCGTTCAAAGGGGCCGGCATGTTACGGAGTAACAATAATTAAATTATTTTTTGTAAAATATTTAATATTTTTGTAATTTTATTTTTCTCATACGAAAACTTTTAACTAAAAACTAAATTTGAGAAACTTTTACTTAATATTGGACTACCTGAACATCGGTATGTACCTCTTTTTGAACCTTTGCATATCTGGTACTGAGATCTTCATGTTAACGACAATTGAGCGCTACGTCATTTATTGCACTTACCAACCGTTTTTACCTAAGTTTCACAAACTTTTATAATGCGACGTTGTCATATTTTTAAAACTTTAGAAATCCCAAAATTCCGATGTTGCCAAATTTGTAAATTACTGCGTTTGTCTGTCGAATGCCTGCCTAAAGGGATCAGAATCCAAGTGACCATGATTCAAGCAATACATAATTGTGAGTCACTGCGCGCAAAACATTAGAATTTAAATATTCACCTTTCATATCAATTAAAGTTTCATATTTATATACAGTAATTGGCTTCAATAAAATATGTAAAAATTTAATTCACTAAAATATTTGATTTTCTTTCAAAGCCCAAACAACTGTAGTAAAGGATAGTCTTCGATCCAAGCTTAATGAATTTAAGAGGAAATCAGCATTAAGTGAAAACCATTAATTTTTAGAAATATGAAATTCATCTTTTTATTCCGTTTCCATTGAATCATGGATTATATATGGTTCTGATAAATTTGTTTTCTTGAAACGTATGTAATCTAAATTGTAACATTGTTATCGAATAATAAAAAGAACATAACTGTGAAAATGTATTTTACATTATTATTTTGTTGGCAATTCTTATTGTAATCATTCTTGTTATTACTACTACATTTTAATTATACTGGGATTATTATTCCATTTGTTTTCATTTAATTTTTTCTTTAAATAAATACCTCATAAAAATATTCATTACACATTATGAAACGTCAGATTTTTGCTTACCAAAATGCGTAGAATAATTCCACCATTATAAATTTGTGTTAGCATTCTTAACCAGTTTAATGATTTTATTTCATACTTATAAAGTGACTTCTTGGGATTTCATTTATGTTGTATAAAGATACCAATAGTGACAAGAATTGACAGTGACATAATAAAATGATCAATTTTGGGACTTAAATAATTTTAAAAAAGATGACAAAAATTACAATAGCGTAATTTTAAAAAAGTTAACTTTTTATTTAATGACGTCATTCACAAAATTTCGATTTGAATATCCGGCAAACCTTGTGAATTTTTAAAGTTTTATGGTTAAATAATGACCAATTAAGGATAAAATTAATTTTTAATAAAAAAATTACAAATTTCAGTTTTTTTAAATTTTCCGGGAGTTACTCCCGGGATTAATTCCCGGGAGCCTCTCGATAATTTTTTCACGTGGGTATGCACTTACCAATCGTTTTAACTGTGTTAGCTACAGTTAACGAATCAGAAAAATGAAGCTTCAGATTAAATGAATATTTAAACAAATAGTTATGATTTGCATATAATCGAATGAGGAAAGAAAATAAGTTTTAAAAGATATTTGCCGTTCTCAAAATTTTAACAAGTAGAATGCACTTGCTAATGGTTACAAGTTTATTTGAGGAAAGTTCCAAGGTTACAAGGTACAAAGGATGCAGAAGGTCTTTTACTTCGGTTAAGGAATAATTTTCTTCGGTAGACAAATCATCCGGAGGCCTTTGTTTACTAGATTTCTGCCTGCTCAGTTTTAACAAAACTCGACTAACAAATTTGTTTAGATGTAAATACCTTTCCAACATAAGGTACAGAGAGTTCCATCCTGTTTTTACTTCTTGGATGAGTTTTAAGCAATCTGTTTCCCTTTTATTCCATTCAGTTTTTTGAAGATTTTTAAGTTCCGGCGCTGTAACTTCACTTTTACGGAAGAAAGTCTTCAATACGTTGACGTTTAGCAGGATTTGAAGCTCGGCTTTGAGCGTCTATTTTATGCCTTTGAAGCAAGTGGTTCTTGGTTCTTCAAGCAAATTAGTTCTTGAGAGCAGATGGTACATTTGACTTTCTTATTATTTAAAATTTTAGTAAAATGAAGCCAAACTCCACTTGGAGGCGACATAACAATAAGAATAAAATTCTTGATATCTAATCTGATGAAAAAGTAAATATAATTAATTTATAAATGATTAATACATTAAAATATATTAATTTCTTGAAATAACATGAGCCAAAAGTTTTGAACGTTTAAATGAACAAAATTTTTTTTCAACTTCTTCAAGTACGAATTTTATTACAAAATATTGTTTGAAATATCTAAAAAGAAGTTATTTAATTTAATAATTGTTAAATTTACTGTTTTATTTTACATTGACATCATAATTTTTAAAAATTTATAGATTGAAAAAAATATTTCGTTCATTTGAACGTTCAAAACTTTTGGCTCATGAAATAACCTCAAATTAAGAAAGAATCAATCAAACAATTCCAATTGTTTGTCTGATTATTTCTTAATCCAACTTTATATTTTCGTATCTTCAAGTAAAATGATAATTTAGGTTTTAAAAGTACTTTAGTGGAAGTTTATTGAATTTAATTTTAACAATAACAATTGTATTTTAATACACAAAAAACAATTTTTTAATCATTTAACAATAGAAAGAAAATTTTGAAAACATAACCTAACATTTAACAATTGTTTCTTATAGTAAGAAATTTTTAACCTTTATTTCAAATTAATAATAAATTAACGTAATTAATACGTTCTAGCAGTTAGTTAGAATATTCATACAGAATGTATTAAATCATGAAAATTATCAAATAAACGTAAATACTTACCAACAATTACAAATAATCACTTAAAAAATATTAAATATAATTGAATTGAATTGGACACTATACTGACTGAGTCACATAATGGTCACATCAAAAAGTCTGTGATATCAGAAAGGCACTTTAACATTTATGTATTAAGACCAATACACAATTTGCGAACGTAATTCGTGAGATAGAAAAAGACAGTGATACATATACATTAGGCTTAAACGTAATAACACATAGACTAAAGTCGTAAGACGTAATCGTAAACTATACATGAGAGACAAACGGACAGAAAAAAAAATCTTTTACGATTTGTTACTTTCGAATAATCGAGTATAAAAATTGAATACCTGTCGATTTTTTATATATCAAAATCGATTACAAGTAATCGTTAAGTAGTATTAGATTTTTCCATTAAAATCGATTTTGATTTGCACATCCCTATTTCACTTTTTACGAATTTGACAAACTGGCGAGCAGGATTTATTCTGTTATTGTCTCAAAAAGCATCTAAACTTGCAGCAATATTTGCTACATTGCCTCAACATTCTAATATTGCAGCAACATTTTAGAAATAATGGCAATGTTTGCAATATTTCTAAAATATTAAGTGTTCTGGGGGGGGTTTAACATAATATTAACAGTGGTAGTTTTGTCAATCTTAGAAAATAAATGTTATTAACCTATTGATATTATAAAATATTTTTGATAAACGAAACAAAACTTTGTTTGCATTAATTTAAAGTCCATGTCCATAATATAAAAATTTGAAAGGGAATATTATTTATCACTGCAATTTCAGATTCTTGCCAACTTTAACGATTCAATTATAATTGTTAAGAGATTAAATTATAGAATTTGGCAAAATCCATCAAACTCATTCGTTCCTTGCACTAGTATACTTCTCTATGAAACAAAATCCAATTTACTGGTACCAGTTCTTCTCATTCCGGTGGTATGCTTCAGTGCACCATATTATTGAACGCTATAAACCATTCCTCGTTTCTCGACACTAGGTGAAATATCTCAACGAAAATATCTCAAGAAGCTAGAAGGGATCTTCGAAAATTGTTTTTTTAACAGAATAAAGAAAAAATTTATTTTTTCTAAAGACACAATGAGACTAAAGTAAAATGGTTTTTGAAACAACTTCATTATTACAAAATTGATTTTATCTGGAAAATAATCTCTTATGAATTTTTTGCATTTTTTATTTGCCATTTCCCAGTAAAAAAATTTAATAGCATGATTCGTTATTTTATATTAGCAGTATCGTTAATTGTCATAACTTTAGTTCCGGTCTTTTGCATATCACTTCAAGGAAACCAGCCATTATTAGTCCGTTTGTCGTTCCAATTTTGTAGACTCCATTTTCAGTATCAATCACTATAGCTGAAATATTTCGATGATTGAGTGGCCTGCAATCAACATTTGGAACTGAAACTGAAATACTACATATCTCCAATACTCAGTGGTGGGAAAGTTTTGTTCACTAAATGTAACCATGTTTGTACTTGCTCTTTCTGATTATTGTAACAATCAATGTATTATCGACCATCCACGCTTTTAACAATTTTTTTCACATTAGCGTTTGTCCGCTCAATGCTTCCTTGCGATTGGGGATGATGTGGGCGTCCATGGACTGTTTTACAATTTGGCCAAATAAAAACTAATTTTTCTATAACAGCAGCAACAAACTCTTTCCCGTTATCACTTTGTAATATGCTAGGAGCACCAAAAAAAACAACAACTTTGACAGTTCTTCTTCTGTATTTGTATCGTGTTTCGTTGTTAAAAGGCATAATTGTAAAAATTTGTTGAGTGGTCTTGGTAGTTTATCAACAATTTATACACGTCTGTCCAGCTGGCACCTCCACAAGCATAAATGAAAAAAT